TAACGCTGGGGTTCCAGCCGAACTGGAACAGGAAGGTACGAAATATTTTGCGGCCGTGGTCGGTGGTCGGCCGCAGTTCTTGTTTTGCTCACTGTTAATTGATTATAGCTCGTATCCAACGCAGAGGCCGCAACCCCCGACAAGCCCACCAAAACCAAAGCAGCCGAGAGCCCTTCCTGCCAGCCATTCCACTTGGACTCCCTTCATTCTGTTCCCGTGCGTTTAGTTTTGTTCGTTGCCCCTCACCCATCGCCCGTCCTACGTCTTGGTGTAAATCTGTAATGAGCCACAGTTTATGCCGATTCCACCTTCCAGCCTTCCCTCGCTTATCCGCCACAAATTACCCAATGGCGCATTAAATACCTACTTTATTCTCACGTGATGAATAATTCTTCCATTGTTTTTAAACAAGCACAGAACATTATTATAATGTAAATTTTTATTAGCATCGCTTCCAATGTCGATTTGATTTGGAAGGACAAACGGGAATAGGGAACTGATCTTTCCATTTGGTAAACATTTGTAGATGCCAAGTTCAATAAAATGTAGAATTTTATTTGCTATTTATATACAAATATTATTAATTTAAAAAAACTGTTAGAACAATTACTATCATAAAATTGTGAGACGGTCCAATATTAATGTTGCATAATAAAACGTTATAGAGCTACGGCATTTTAAAGCAGATCGTTCTCCCCAGAATCCAGATTCGCAATGTTCGGCGAGCTTAAAACGCCCGAAGGCATCCGAAACGATCAAAAAGTTATCGATCACGGTAACCTTCCACGCTGACCGCCGTCTACCTGTTTCGGACACGTCAAAGCACGGACATGGAGCCGGCTGTCTTCTCGTTTGTTTCAAATTCTCGTCACTCATTTTTCATACGTTTACACTGCCGACGCCGCCGCCGTCGCGCCGCCGCAGATTCCTCTCGATACTAAAAGAACGAGAGAAAGAGAGAATGAGCGAGGGGGATGAGAGAGGAGAGAAAGGGGGAATGGTGGAGAAAGAGGGAAGAGAGGAAGAAGTTGCGAACGGAACGAAGAGGGGTAATCGTTCTCTTCTCCACGCTGTTCGAAATAGTGGTTCTTTCCGCCCTTTGTTCTTCCTCACAAGTTTTCTTCCTGCAGGCGCGGGGGGAAACAAAAGACAAATTACAGAGACGCCCGTCATGTGACCCTTCCCACCTGTCTATAAACGACCTGGTCCAGTCCAGAGAAAACGAGAGCACACCGAAGGCGGACACGAGAGGGAAATCCGTGATCCGGACGACTTGGTCGCATGTGTAAACTACTTCTCAATTAAAGATCCACTTTTTCCTCTTGCCTTTGATGATCGTACTCCCTTGGGACACATTTCTTTATTGCTCGTTATCATCTTCAATGAGAACGTCTACAAATTAATCATATAAGTGCAGTGGAACAATGCAAAAATTAAGAAAGAAGCATTGGGCATGTGAGTTTCACCAGCTGTTCATAAACATTCTAGTATAATAAAGGCGAAAGAATAAAGGAGACACGAGCGAGTAGAATTGAACAATGCCTTGCGTGTGTGGATCTCTTTCACTCCTATATTTACGTAATTGTTGTTTCGTATGATCGAAAATTTCCGCGAATAAAATTCTTCTAGAAGTCGGAGCACGCATTATTAGGGAACAGTATCGATATCTTTATTGCTATTTCATCAATCTTATAAAAATAAGTATAAAGTAGAAGCGTCGAGCTGAAAATATTATCCTATGGTTTATGTACTCTTGATCTAAAAGTAATATTATGTAGAATCAAAATTATCATAAATTATATTTAATTTATGCATAAATAAAATTTTTCTCTCGAATAAAAAATTTTCAATATTATATAGAAATTCAATACGAAGATATAAAAAGCGAAATAATAAACGGCATCTCGATAAGATGCTATTAATTCAGAAAAATAATCGCTTTCCTGTTTTAGTTCACATATTCTATCACAGATTATTTATAATAATGCTCGTACAAATAAAGTAATTCGTATACCCATTTAAGCTTTAATTGATAAAGCTTGCACTGATTAACACACGTTTTTAAAAAAGTGACTGAAAGACATGGCATAGCTTGCAAAGTTATGTTTCATCAAAAGGTATCATTTTAAAGTGTAAACTCATACCGACGTCCTCATACTGATGAGAACGCGCGAAGCGACGGCTGTCAGCTTTGTCACGGACATCAGCATCTGCTCTATCGACGATTGACGAACTATTACATTAACAAACCTGTTATTTTAATTTTGTTTTTTATATTTCTACTTCAATTTCTTAATTACTGCACTTTTTATTAAAATAGAGATGTATTGCATCAATTATGAAAATTTTGAAATAAAATTGTGACTTATTAATTATGAATTATAGTAAAGAATGACTTATTAATTAATTATTATTAACTGCAGTTATATTTTATATTTTTTTGCAAGTATTTTGTAGTTTTTAGTTTTTTATTCTGCATTCATTTTTTATTATTAAAAAATTGTCAGAAAAAAGCATATAAGATTAACTTTCAAAAAATTAAAAATACGAATTTTTAAACATTAGTCTGTTACAAATAAAAGCGGTTATTAATAATATTGATATTAATAACAGTATTGACGTTTATTTACATAAATGTTATTTAAATAGTGATGTATATGCTTTAACAATTTGCATATTAAAAGCTTTAATAATTCTAAAATATTTATGGTAGCAGTCTGAACCGGATGAACCCATAAACGAAGCTAACAGCGTGATATACGAAAATACGGACTCTATTTTCGTGCTCTATCGTTCTCACCTCACACACGATCCTGTCAGGTCTTCATTTTGACTACGCCTTGACAGTTCGTCATCCTCTACATCGTCTCGCAAGAACGAGAAGCTTGCTAGCAACGCCGACATTTTCGTCCGAAAAAAGTCGTTACCGTTACAAAGCAATAACGCCTGTCACTAATTTGGATTAGCAAGAAGTGGTGTGATGTGGTACCGTTATTTTACTCACAAAGCTAAACAATATTTAATTATTGTTACCAAAATATCTGACACTTGATAAAAAAATCTCTCCTTTAAAAATATTTTCTAATCTAAAGATCTATTTATGTATTATTATTAATATCTAAATATAAAATGCAAATAATTTTTTATAACGATTTAAAACATCGTAAGTACTTACACAGATTCTCAAAAAATATACTCTATCATTCGTTATACATATTTTTATTTTGTAACAGTTTAATTTATATCGGTTAGTTATTTGCCATCCAAATATTGCTCCGAATTCATCGCCGGATTGAATTAAACTCCTGGAACGATTGAACAGATACAGGGCGTGGAGTGGAGTTTGATCGACAGTTTCGACCAACCAATCGCAAGACCGAAATGCTGATGAGGCCCACGTCAATCATGCGATACTTTCATCTCGCCACCATCGCCCTCACCCTATGGAAACTCCACGTGCAGGATTTGCTAGGTTCAAAGCTTACTACATCTTCAGTCTACACCCTTCTCCCTCATCCCCGAGTGTCTTCTCTCTTTTCTATTCTTCCTCTCCCTTTCTGACCATCTCTATCACGTACCCTCCCCGACCTTTTCCAGTCACTATACCTTCCTCTTTTTACCTTTCGTCCTATCTATGTCTTTTTCCTTCTGTCTCGTTCGATTATTCTCTTTCTCTTTCTTCTTTAACCCCTGGCGACTCATCCTACTGTCGAACCACCCCTCTGCCACCCTACATCCGCTCGCACGCTATGGGGTAGTTTAGCATCTCGGCCCTACGAAACGAACCACCTCCTCCCTCGCTGTCCCCCTTTGCTCCAAACTGCGTCACGCCGTATCGGTTTTTTTTCTTCTCTCATGATACGGCGACGCATAAAAAAGTGTAACACCCCTGCTTCTTGATAAAAAAAAAGACCTTGACATCCAGGTGGTCAGTGACCGATAGAATAAAATATTAGCGTGAAATATTTCTCGCGCTGTTGTGATGTCCGCCAAGGTGTCTCTTACACCCCTAAATGATAGACAGAAAACCCGAAGTACTCAGAATGTAATATATTGGAGAAAGTTTTTCTAAACATTTATGGCAAAATATACGTTGTTCCTATAGAGAATTTGCCAAGACACGTCTTGTTAAACAACGCAAGCTCGCGGCGAGCCATCAAGTTTGATTGAAATATTACTCCTCGGGGCGTGCAGCGAATTCTGTAATTACGATAGGCGGCTATTAATAATTGTTTACCGCAGTTGGGTGGAAATTACTCTTACGCCACATGCCTCGACAAAGTACCGTGAGATACTTGGTCGCTACTTTCTAGACCAAATCTGCCCGAATAAGCCGCGATATGCTTCCTTATATCGTCCCTCCAATCCCTTCCCCTCTCATGTTTTCACGTCCTCTCGATCCTGTGTGGCATTCCTCTTGTTATCGCGGAACAAGTTTCTTATCCGATAACAATTAGGAGGTGTTTCGCATCGACATGGAATAGTGCCGGTGGGAAACTTGCCCAAAAGTTTCTAAGGAGCCCAGTAACTCGCCGGAACAACACCAGAATGGTCCTTTTCGTCGCGCGAGAATCTTCGCTCATGCATTGTTAAGGATGTCGTGTCGCATCCCTCCCTCCTCCCTCCTTATCTCTATCTTCCTCTCTATAGTCTAGGTTGCTTAAATGATCATTAATTAGGATACCATTTACTTCCTATAACAGACAAAAAGAGAGCAACGTGGCGGTAAAGACGAAGCGAGTATCGGAGCGCGAGAACTTCAACGTGCTACAAGAAATAAAATAAAAAATTAAAATTATTTGCATAACGTATTTTTTGATAAAAATATTTATAATATTTGTAAAATATCTAAATACATGACATTTCATCTAAAATATAAGAATAAATTAGTGCAGATAATTAAATTAATCTTATTATTGAAGAAAATCTACGTTATATTATTTCGATTTGTTATAATTGCATCGAAAAAAATTGAAGAAGAGGGAATTTTTCTTTTGCAGAGAACGGTCTGCCAAGAAGATTACGAACGGCTTATACAAATACGCAACTTCTCGAGCTGGAGAAAGAGTTTCATTTCAACAAGTATCTTTGTCGACCACGAAGGATAGAGATCGCAGCTTCATTGGATCTTACAGAAAGACAGGTAATAATTTAAATTAAATAATGTTATATATTATTAAAAAATATTTATTATATTATTTTCATTTTTAATACGTTATATATTTCAATATATGTTATATTTTAAAACCTTTTGTACACTATTTTTATGTTGCTTCATTAAAAATGTTACAAAAAACATGTTTCTTTTATCTGTTGCACAATTGTTGATGCATTATATGCAGTATCTATATTTAATAACTAAAAATGTAAATAATTATATAAATATCGCTATCTTCCTCTCAGGTAAAAGTTTGGTTTCAAAATCGACGAATGAAACACAAACGGCAAACGCTCAGCAAGGAAGACGGCGACGAGAAGGATGGCTCCACTTCGGATGGCATGGAAAAGCCCAAAAGCGATAAAATGTTATCAGATAACGACGAGAAAAAGAGCTGTCATAACTGTGATATTTCGGGCGTGGGCGATGTCGGAAGTACCTTAACCGGCGACGTTACTGATTTAGGATCTTCCGGCCGAAGAAACAGCAACAACAATAACACACCTGGTGCAACCAACAACAATAATAACAACAACAACAGTAATCCTGGTTTTAATACGAACAGCAATGGTGCTAGCAGCGTTGGCAGTACCAACAGCGTGTCCAGCTCGTTCGAGAAAATGATAGTGGATGACGATTCGAGGTCGCAAGATGGAAGCGAAGTGACGTCGCCGAGCGTGACGAAAAAATTGTCGGGCGAAGTGAGAGTGAAGGTTGAGAGCGGCCACAAAAGTCCGAACACAGCGAAGCAACAACAACAACAGATCTCGGTAAGCAAGAAATCGCCATCGGCCAGCACGAAGGACATGTGTTCGGTCAACAGCAATGGTGTACTGTTAGCCATGCCGGACTCGACGGTCAGCACGCCGGTTCTACCGGGTCAAAATTCCACGAGAAGTTTAACGCCATCCTCGACACCCGGTACTCCCGTTTCCGTCCAGCTTCAGCAAGGCAGTCCCCTCGGTATCCAGCAAGCGGCTCACACGGCCTACATGCAGAGACCGCGTAGCTCACCGTCCTCCACGACCTCGTTACCGGGTCCGATGTTACACGCGTCTACGAATCCGGGAACGATGTCGCCGCACGGTGGCCGAAACATCTCCAACAGTCAGCAAGCACACTTCCAGCAGCAGGGCGTGTATCAGCCCACGCCGGGCATCGATTATCGAAACGGCGTACCCGCAAACAGACAGAGCATACCTACGGCGTCGCAACAGACCCAGTCGCAGAGCAGTTACTGCACCAGAGATACGTATCAGCAACCAAGAATCTCTTATCCGAGTGAGGTGAATTCTCTATACGTTAGACAGAATCAGACGATGGGTTCGAGAGTGGCGCATCACGTGAGAGCGACGGGCACAGCATCGAGATCGATGTACGGTGCCAACATGCAGTTTCATCAGCAACAGTTGCAGTACGGTAGCACCGGAGAGTATAACGGATATCCTCAGGCTGGGCCACCTTATCACACTTATCACAGAGGTATGCAAGGTACCAACGCGTACAATTCCGGCCAGGGATACTCGGCGACGCAGAACGAACAGAGCACCGACGGCTACATGACGCCTGGAAATTACGGTTACTCGACCGGCGGCAACTATCATGGAGCCGGCGAGAATCTGGCGACACACGGGCACGCCGCTGTGTCCGCGCAGACCGGGCAGCATTATTTCAACGACATCCAGCAGCAGCAGCAACACCCGCAGCAACACACCGCCGAGGGCTATGTCACTCATCAGCCACCGATGCATCCAAGTTCCGGCGACTACCGACCAGGGAACAAGTGTCACCCGGGAGCGTATTACGAGCAGACTGCCAGTCAGTTGCACGTTCATCAGGGCGGCGAGGCTTCCAGCATCCCAAACAGTTACGTATCGTCGCCCGATCCATTTCCGGCGCCTGGCATGACGACAACCGCGACGGCGATCGCAGCTGCTACCGCAGCGGTTATCACGCCACCCGGAAGCGCCGGCCAGGCTGACGGCAACAACGAATCCTACGGCAATTATGGCAATTTTTACGGCGAACCGGTGCACACTGCCACGGCGCCGCCACCATCCGCCGACAACAGTAACAGCTCGTCCGACTTCAACTTCCTCAGCAACCTGGCGAACGACTTCGTACCCGAGTATTACCAGCTCAGCTGAGTCCACGAGACCGAAAATCCTTGCCAACTGGACTGGGGCGATGAGCAATGCCTACTCAACGCTTTATACTGAAGCGTGCCGCGTAAGAATCTACGTGATTTGTATGTACTATTAGTATTCGTGATTTAACTCTGCGTGTAAATGGAAATCGTGTAAAAATGAAACGGACTCGGATTACTGATTAGAAATATTATTATCGGTGCGTGTGCGTGTGTGTCTATATATAAGTTCATGTCATTCAACCTAGGCTGTCGAATGTCCTCTAGTTCGAAGTGACTCCTTCCGCGAGTTGTGTCGAAATTATTTTCAAGACTGCTTGCAATCACGGCACGAAGACTAATTTATGGAATGGTTGTACATAGTAAAATTTGAAATATTTAAATTGACTTCAACACCTACAAGCATATCTGAAGTAATCCGGATTACCAGAGAAATTGTCGACTGTTCTAGAATGCAACTGTAGCCGAGCAGTCGACATCGTTACGCATCCGAATAATATCAATTTTAATATTCCTTACCACGGACAGGATGTAACTCCACCAATTTACATTCCAAACATTTAAAGATGTTTCGGAAATATACAACAGTGACAACGAGTGCAATGGTTGTGTTAATTTTTCTATTTACAGAATTTTTCAAACTGTGTTACAAAGTGACATTCACCACCCTTTCGGTGCGAAACGCGCTTAATCGCAGAAGATGAAAAGTGATTTGTAAGTGATATTAGACTGATATACACGAACTATGGTCTATACAAATGTGCATGAAGAGTGTTGTAAATATGTCAGAAGTTTACCGGTACGGAAATTCGATGGAGTTTCAATTCCACGATTCGATTCTCGTGAATTGAAACACGAAGTAAGTGCAATCTTCTTGGCGCGAACGTTCTCTACGTTAGTGCATCGTTAGGGTGTTCGAAAACTAGATTGTACAGATCACCGAACCCATGTTCCTTTCGTTTTCGATGTAACTTCAGTCACTGGCACAGAGTGTGTGCTTGGAGCATTTAATCTTATTTGAAAGTCTCGAACAAGGATTTGAACATGTCGTCAAATTACACACATTCTACAAATGTTTAATTTTCACGTGATGGCCAATAACATAACGAGATAATATTTGATTTAAAACGATAAAACGAGGCCTGAGACTGTAGGTACATGTGAGCAATAATTAACAATGAAACTATGTACATATATATCATACAAAGGATAGATTAATGGAACACAAATGAATAAGAAAATCGCATTTATACACAGTCATGATTACTATATCGAATATACAACTTCTGAAAAGCGAAATAGGTACAATCCGTTAGTTTTAATTAAACACAGGAAATAGATGTCTATCTCTCTCGCTTATAAAAAGAAATCAATGTCCTCCAATTGAATATGGAGAATAGTTAAAAATCATTTCTTGGCCACTATTGCGGAAAGAGACAGATGCACTTGTAAAAATGTTGCGCTGTTCGTTTTGTGAAAAAATGAAACAAGCTTTAAAATTAATTTAAATCGATATGTTATTCTGTGTCGTGGATAATGTCATTTAATAACGAACGGAAATCGTTGAGCAATACTTGGAATGATAATCAACACTTTCTGATTGCGGAAGATGTATTTATTGTATCCTCTAAATATCGGTTGCATTATCATTTTTTCACAAATCGCATTTTTTTCAAAGCTCTACTAGCGCTACTTTAAGCGAACCAAATAAATTATTGTCTCACGGTAGATAATATAAAAGTAAACGTAGATAGGGACATAATTTTAATTTTCACCTCGCGACTACATATTTAATACGCAGCTCTTTTTGTATAAAACACTAGATGCCGTCGTTGTTCATATAAAGACTCTCATATGTACATACGCGCGTACGATAACCGTATATATATTGTTTATTCATTCTGACTACATAATTGTGTTGCAAGTGAGCCCTCGACACGGTAAACGAAGTTATCACACGTGTACATTCACTCACCGGTACATTTGACAAATACAGATCCATAGTGAAAAGTAACGAGAGTGTGTTCTTATTTTCTCTAGTAATCATTTTTTTAACTGTTTCAGTCGTTCGATTAAAAGTGGTAACGTGAACCATGTGGAGTCCGAAAACATCGTATAAACCAACGAATGATACGGAAAATCATAAGTTTAACGAAGGAGTGACCATGAACGGGGGCGAAACGCGTAAATTTTGATCGTATAGACGGCGCGGTTTGCCCCATGCCGGCGATGAAAGTGACGATGATAGATGACCCAAAATATCGGAGCAATCGAACTGAAATATTATTCTTAGCAGCATCTTTACACCATGTCAACTTCATATTCCATTCAGAAATTAACGCGCCATTTGTTATCCCAGAGAAACCCCTACGCGCATAAATTGATTTATCAGTCGTGTAAAACTAGAGAAAAAAATAAACGTTAATTTACTGATACGTCCCACGATATAGCTTACGTGTTATCAGAAAAGATTTTATTATTGTCACAGTAGCGAAACAATAGTGTCATAATAATTACGATAGCATCAACTGCGAGAATCGTAAATTGCGACGTTTTGTACAAAATCACAACTTTGACGAAAGAAACTCAAATCGAGAGCCCCGCACATTGGTAGGACGGACGGCTGTGTCAGTGAAGAGACTGACAATGATGGATGACTACGCGTGATGCGTGTGAGTCAAGCCCATACGACGCCATAGCTTCGAGCTCATATGTGACCTCCGGTTCGAGCGGGCCGAACTGTTGCTATCGTTGCATCTGTGCAGAACACCCTCCCGAAACACGATCCCCGATCAACGATCCTCCCCACATCGGCTAATTTCTCCAAGCTATTAACTTTTTCTCGACCAACGAGGCCATACAGATAGAAGAAAAAAAAATAACGAGTCGGAAGATTAGAAAATTACGTTTTGCAACCTGCAGTCTTACTACGACTTACAATTAGATGTTCGTGCTTCCGATTTTCGGACACGTGACAGTGTCTCGCAATGCATGCGACAGTATAATGCAACAATTTGATATTAAGCGTCGGACAATGCGTCGTCAGCGTCGGACGAATATCTCAATAAAGTTTACATCCAAACATTTTACAATATATCTTTATCGTCGATTATGCGGTGATATCGTAGTCATATCGAGGGTGGACTTCGAAGCTGCAGGGTCAAGGGTTACCAGCCCCGGAGCCGTGCGCGATGCTTGCCCTTTCCGCCCAACCGTCGCAACCATAAATCTTACGATCGTCAAGGGACGACTCATTCACGCCACTTTGCTTTCCATCCGATATCCGCTGAGCAGAAAACGCATGGATTTCTACGACTTTCACCTTGATCTCATTCACACTATACAATACTATTTGAACTATGTAACATGCACTTTTCATTCCGTTTAATATGATTTGTTAATTTTTGCAATATTGTTTCGTAAATGTTTTAATTTGGTCATAAGCATTCCTCGGTCAAAAGTGATTAATGAATGTGTCGTGCATGCGCAAAGATTTCCAGGATTATCACAATTGTTTCGTTTAATCGATTTCGCGCTGTATTCTTGAGACAAAGAGCCGCGTCTAAATCGAAAGAAATCCCGAGGTGGAAAGGCAGCAAGATACGAGTAGCCGGCACAACGATTCTTATTTTCTTTTTCTTCCGGGACGCGCGCGAGAGAAATGTCGTTAACGCTTAAATGTTAATAAATGTAGATAGGGAATAGGGGGTCCTGTATATCAGACAGGTAGATGCTCACCTGAGCGCCCAGTGACTAAGTGAAGAAGGTAAGAAAGTGCTGCTACGCTGGCGGCTGCTTTTGAGGCTCGGTTTGTCATGGTTCGCATGATAGATGGAGGAAGCGGGAGCTTCAGCTCTCCAGTGTATATATACATATATATATGTATATATATATAGATATATATTGTATATGTATATATATGTATGGTGTTGAGTTTTAACCACGGGGACACCTTGCGATCATCCCGTCCTTTAACTCGTTCGCCTACCGCAAATAGAATCTTACACGCCTCGCATGCTCCCGTTGCTGTCAATGACGAAATTATGAAATATATTTCCGACTGATTCCTCCGCTTCTAATGTCTTCCTTGCGAATGTATCAAAAGTTAATGATCAGCTTCTAATTTAGCTTCGCGCGCTTGAACGTGAGCCGAAATTTTGGCCCAACAGGAGAGACAAAAATAAATTTTTCACGATTGGAAGCGTTCATGTTTGTTAGCGATTTACTCATTTGTTAGCAATAACTCTGCGATACGACGAGAAGGTAATGTGCGAAGGTCTTTTACTACATTAAAATTGCAGATATGCGTCGTATCTTGAAGAATAATGAGGCTTGCAGCGAGGAAATTAATAAACGTAAGTAGTAAACGTTAATAAAAGTTGCTGAGTAAGTCAAATATAACTTCTTGTACATTAGCGCGACCTTATAACTGTTCTCATTACTTTTTTCCATTATTGCACCTACCGAGTAGCTTTAATACTGCGTTTAATAATACATAAAACTGACTTAAATGTTGGCTAAATATTTTCAATTAAATGATTTTTATAAATAAACTTGCGCATGCTTTTTAGCAAATATATTTTTAGTTAATTATTGAACACAATGAAACAAACAGTGACATTAACAAACGGAGTTACTATTTTTACTTAATAACTAAAATACTAAAATACTAAAATATGTAATTTGATTTTAAGTGATACGCAATGAGATTTATTACATAAATTTATTGCAAAAAGGATATTTCGAATGAAAATTGTTTGGTTGAACTAGAAAAGTGCATGAAGCAATCGATATCGACATTTCGATGTTCTAAAAGAAGCACTACGAATATAAACGATGGTTGCAGTGACGAATTGACTCTCGTCACACCACAGAGCTCAAATTATTATAATAATTACATCAGACCTGAACGTGACATGCTTCAACTAGCTTTATTAATTGCGCTACATATGATGTAACGTCAAACTCAGGTTTTACAATATCTGAATTTTTAATAACAAGCAACTTGCTTGATTAAATAACAATATTCCGACATTTAATACCTATAACAAAAATTTTTAGATAATAATTAGATTAATCGTAATCGAGGTGCATACAATCTTCCCGACCGACAGACTTATGTCGGGATGAGACGACAAATCAGTCGCGAGCAAATGCCGCGTACGCGTGTAA